AAAAATGTATTCCTCAGTAAAAAGATATTATTCTCAATTAGACCCAAAGGATTATTATTTTCCAGGAATATATTTCACCGCCTTTCCAACTAGTTAAATGTTTGCTGTCCGCTAGCATCATATCCCTAATGATCATTGATTTTAAAATTCCAACCATAGTTTGTTCCTTGCACGCTGGTTGAATGAAAGTAGGAAACTATCTAAACTTTCCTTATCATGAAGACAGATGACAAAATAGTAATCCATGTATCTAACCAGAAATTTGGGGGTTAGTATTGCCTCTTGCAGAAAGTGTTACTCCAGTCTTGCCATATACTTGTTCGCCAAGATAGGAGCCAGGCAAGATCCCATCGCTAGTCCCTGTGTTTGTTCGTATAACTTACCATCGAAGGTAAAATATATCGTACTCATGGATAGGTTAATAAGTCTAATAATGGAAGCTACACTCAGCCTTATTGTGTTATATCTGGATTCTCCTCCAGAGTTTTGCGATATTATATGGTCAAAATGAGGGATCATCTCCAGTTCAATACTATTCCTTACCTATTCAGGTAATCTATCAGATAAGCTAATTAATTAAAAAAGTATTTATAGAGAGTCGTTTACCTCATTTGGAAGAGCGAAATTCAATGGTCTTTCCAATAAAAGTACTTAACTATCCTCCAGAGTTATACTAGATAAATTGATTACCTTACCCTTCCCCATTTTGCTACAACCATAGTTAGTACGACTTACATTAGGCGCAAAGTTTCTCAACCTAATTCTAATTCTTAAATTCCAGAGCTTATCATGTATCCGACGGGTCGTTCTGTCAGTCGCCACTCCTTACCCATCAGCCATGCCTTGTAACTTAATGAAATCCACACCCTTCAATATTTCAGAAAGAAATTGCCTAAGCCTAGTTTAGGTTCTAATTAGTTCGTGTAAATTATTAATGCATTCCTTGAGCCTAGCTTTAACCAAACCACACGATACCTGATCAAGTTCATTATTGGTGAATGTCGGTAGTCAAAACGTCACACGAACAACACTATGAGAAATACTAATTTTTTAAAATCTAATTATATTAACTTACCGGGAAATAGTCATCTTGGTTATAGGGTAGTGAGAAGACGAATGGCAAGAAGCCGAACCGTTTGTACATTGTGGATACGAAGAGAAATTGGGTTACGATGAATCTCCTGAGATAACATTGTTGGGGGGACTTTCATTTCGTATGAAAGTGCATGAAGAGGAGATTCGTAAGTCGATCTCACAAGAAGAGGACGGATGAATTCCTTTGTACTGCAGCTTTTTGATTACTCTGATTTACGACCGGTATTGCATATAGACGCTAACACGCACATACACACACGCACACTCAAGCAAAAGTAGCAAGACCAGTATGAAAGATAATTAGCCAAACCACTCTATATCTATCTAGGTTTTTAATTTTCTTTCGGCTTAATTGAGTCTATATAAGAGGTAAGATAGAGTCGGATAGTCTTCTTAACTGTTAACGTTAGACGTTTACAGGAATGAAACCCAGCTCTGATGATGTCCATCATATGATGGACGTAAGTTGAGCCCGTTTTAACCCGAAATGAGGGAGGTATCGTGAACTGCGTCTACGTGAACGTCATATAAAAGCCAAAAGGCTGCAGTACAACGGGATTCATATGTTCTCTTTTGGTGAGATCGACCTACGAATCTCTTCTTCATGCACTTTCAAACGAACTGAAAGTCCCCCCAACAATGTTATCTCAGGAGATTTATCAAAACCCAGTTTCTCTTCGTATTCAAGTGTAATTGGCTTTGCTGATTTATCATGTTTAGATACTGGAGCAGCTTGAAAGGAAAGAGTACAGATTGAGGAAATAGGTCTAGCTCCGTGCAAAGATATAAAATCATTAGTTTGAAGAATTATTTTTGTCTCAGGCCCTGCGTTCTCTCGTCGAATCTCTAACATGGTTGTTGAGACTAGGCGAAGTCGAAATTGCAGCTAGCTCTAAATGAGAATGCTCTTTCGCATGCATAATTGATGAATTTAATACTAAAATCAAGTTTCCTCATCTGGTTTTTGCTAGTTCAAAATATAAACCCTCTAATATGCTCTTGGATTTATGAATTCCCATCTTTTTTAGATGTCACAAAGTGGTCAATTTTGTCCTATACCTTAACATACAATACGATGTACTTATATATGGATATAGCTAAACTAGCTTCATGTAATATTACGACTAAACAAACTCAAATAATCTATTTGCTTAGTTTCCGAGATCTTGTAGTGAATATTGGTTGCCTTAAACTAACGTTTACTTTCATCACACCATTATTTTTTACTTATTTTTCGTTTATAAAAAGTTTTGCAGACTGTTTTTTCTTTAAGTGAGCTTTTACTCTAAATTCTGGGGGTTAATTTTACCACGACTTATTGAAAGACTTCACGACTCCTGAGGCAAACTACAAGCAAATAAGGCGCCAACACTACATAGTTATAGTTGCAACATCAATCCTTATTTTGTGAACGATTTATCAGCCTTTGTTTACCTCTTTTGACAAGCATTAATTATTTTTTTGCTCATTTCTGATTAAAATATTTCTCTACCTCTGCATCTTCCGCCAAATCATAGCACTTGTCTGATTGCCTTCTCTCTTCTACTTTGAACAGCTTCCTGTCCATAAATTAAATAATATTAATTCTGGAGCTATGTTCAACAATATCCCAGCTGCCAAAGAATCAACTCTCTCGAATCCTCTTAGTGACAACTCAGCAGTATCAACCTCTAGACCTGGCCTTAATCAAGGTTCATGTCGTCTACTAATCGCAGCTACTTCCAGCGCGCAGATTAGCCCAGCTTCTCCTTTCCTTGGAGGGCCGCCAATTGCTGCTCCCGACATTAAGACGTCTGTGCTGTCTTCATTGCCGTTGCCTCCACCACCCCAAAGGTTGCCTGGATCCTCCCCACCACTGCTATCTTCCGTAATGGAGGCTGTCATTATGACGACTGCAGCGAAAGTTTCATCAGATTCATCCGCTTTACAATCCAGATCAGGTTTATTCATGATTAACTCAAGTGAGCTACATTAAGAAATAGCTGTTAAAATATCCTCTTAATTTGCTTATTTATTTTATTCGTTTCAATTTCTCTTTAAAAATGGTTGCTTTATGAAGTAAGGCTGGGTTTCGATGCATCACAAAATAATTTAATGTGATTATACTTGTCTGACTAGACTTTGTACGTTTTAGACTAGAGACCGTTTGCTTTTGCTGAGAAGTTCATTACTCACCATTCCGCGACCCTGATTAATCCGTACTAAGTTTTCGTCTGTCACGCGATTGACATGAGAGCGACAAACCATCATTAACGAAAAATAGCACGAATGCGCTAAATTAAGATAGCTGGCCGACTGCCATCATACTAACTTATTAATTTTTTTGGTTCTATGTTCCAATTAATGATTTGGTCGGCTACTTCGTGCTTGCCTGGTAAGTCTCATTTACTACCAAATTTTCTTCGAAAGAAAATGTCAAGTAACATTTCATGGAGAAATTTTTTTTGAGCTCCCAAAATTTTTCCATAATAGGGATTTTTGTATGGGCGGTTATAGACTTAGTTTTGCAGTGTATGTAGATCTTCCAGTTACGAATAAAATTAGGGACTTATTATAGTCTAGCCAACTGCTTAAAATACAGAATCAAAGGACCGAGTGTAGAAAATTTAGTCATTAAAATACCATATTTTGTTAAGTTACATGTAGAGAATCGATATTCATGCCATTATGATGGCAGGAAAGGACACTATATAGTTGTTTTTATGTTTTATTCCTTTACTTGGTGCCAACATCTGCATATATATATAT